CTGTGATGTACAGAGCTATCGCCAGACTCTCTCCTGCTCCCCTGAACTAAATTACCAAATAATTGGACTCTCATTAGCCTTGAGGGATGTGAGCAGCCAAGCACAAGAAAGAAGTGTAATTAACACAAAAGCTTATTTCCTTCACTCTTTATTAAACGTGTTCAGTACCTTGTGGTAGACCAACGTGCCATACTGTAGTTCTTTCTGTTCAGTACTTGTCACAATTGAATGTGAGTTTAATGTAATGGAGCCAAACAGTGGGAAAAAAATATGATTTTCTTTTTTAAATATTTGGACAAGGATTGTTCTGTCTGTAGCAGAGGTCTGCAACCACAAAAGAGAAATAAAATTTAAAAAAAAGGTTACCACTAAATTAAACTAACCAAGTTTAACAGTTAAACTAAAGTTATGATATTTTCTAATCATATTACAGAATTATATCTAAGTATTTAAAGGAAGCAGTTCAGAATTATATCTAAGTATTTAAAGGAAACAGTTTTTTTTTTCATTTATACCTCAGGAAAAAATACAAGATGCAAATTCTTACATAGTAACAAATTTTAACGTTGCTGACTTTACACCTAAACAAAATTACCCGCGGTAAGGTTTAAGAAGACAGTGACATTATGTTGTTTTGTTAGCAACACTCGGAAAAAAGTAGTGCGATGTAAAATTGATCATCAAACATGGAGCCAATGTGAAGAAGGCTGATGAGCCACATGTGACCCGGGAGCCACAGGTTGCAGACCTCTGGTCTATTCTATATAGTGTGTGTGTGTGTGTGTGTTTTCCTTTTTCTGAAAGGCACTTTGGCAAAAACGACCAGGCAACAGTGTGATTTCTTTTCATTAAAGAAGTCACACATAGAAAGGTCGCAGATCAGAGCGTGTGTACTGATGGTACCACGGGGCTCTCAGTATTTTCATCAGCCACGTTGAGTGGCTGAAGTGACGGAGGGCGATGCATACCTCCGCCCCCCGCTGCTGTCTGTTGTCAATCACTGTGCTGCTCTGACTTTTATATACGCTCTCTTGCATATTGAAGACTCTCTGGAGACAGACGTGGACTCGTGACGGCAGTAGTGACTTCAGCAGAACGTGCACTGAGTGTTCTGTGAAGATTAACTTTGGCTTCAGTATTGACAGAAGGTGGTGATGAAACTCATTGACCGTGGGTGAAAGTCCACGTGAAAGGCTAGGAGTACGACGAAGCCGGTCGATGCTTAATGTTTTCACACCACTGTAGCAGAATCACACAGAGGGGCAGTTGATAACATGTAGATTGAATTGGTTTTTGACAGTTGCAGCCACAGGCGTGGTCTGCACACCATATACCTCAGATTAAAACCTGAACCTGACGGAAATTAAAATCGTACACAAAATCAAGCAGATGAAAAATGAAACGGAGACAGTTATATAATAAGTTCAACTTTGAAAATAGGTGTTAAATGTTAAAAGTTCACAGTTTTGACTTGCGTTACGTGCAGCATCGTTCACATAGTGCAGGATTTCACCAGAGCGTCAACGTGTGCCTGTGACAGTTCATGTATTTTAAAAATGTCTAAAAACCTGCAGCGTTGTGTTTCATTGTGATGGTGTGCCGTTGACCCGAGGGTCAACACGTGGGTCCTGCAGCAGTGCGTGACCGCAAGCATCGGCTAACGCTGATATTAAAAGTGTTCGGCAGAATAGCAAATTGATTTGTCAAATAAAATGTGTTTTCTTCTTATTGGGTTTGTATTTTCTGTTTATTGCAGATATTTTCATACTTTCAGATTTAAAAGAAAAAAAAGCTTAGAATCAGAATTTCCATCCATGTCACTGAATCAAGCACAAAAAATGACACAAAAACCCCCTCATCTCAACATTTCTCATTTGAATAGACGTCCTTGGACGACGTCATGTGAAATGTTCAACATTCTACCCTCAGGCAACGTCCCTTTTTCTTCCATCTGCTCTTCTGCTTCAGTTCTGTTTTTTTCCTCCTCAGTCTGGCATCGAGCTGAACTGAGAGCCGGGGTAGAAACAAGGACACGCATAGGCAACATATTTAAAGGAAATAAAAAAAACATACATTTTTTTTACTGTCGTTATTGACCTCATTTACTTGAACCATTTAATCAGAAATATTGTTGTTACAGTCTGTACACAGAACAGTTTGTAGCCAGGAGATGTGTCGTGCGATGTTTTTGTGTCACAGATTTGTGGTAATATCAGTTTTATTAGTTTGACAGATACTTGCTGTTAAGTAGGATTTTTTTAACCGTATTTTACATCTTTCTTTTTTCGCCATTTGGCACAAGTTTCAAACACAATAGTGTGTTTTATTACTGCATTTACTGGAAAAACATACATAAATACATAAATAAATATATAAAATTTAAAAAATAATATATTGCTAAATTTATATTCATTTTTGAGAAACGTATTTTTGAAGACTTTTTCAGATTTTTTTTCCTGAACTCTAAGCATAAAAATGGACATAGCCACATATTTTAAGATAAAATTGTGAGGTCAGTCTGTCTCCCTGTCCTGCGGCTGTGTCATCAGTGTCATCACTCTCACCTGTGTCTCTGGTCGTTAGTCTCACTGGTGTCACCTGGTGTCCTGGGTATATATACCTCTCTCCCTCACTCAGTT